CCTCCTGAAAAAAAAAGTCCTGCTCCCGAAACTCGGCAAGTTCGAGCTGCAAAGTTGTTTTGTTTTTTTGGCCGAGGCCGACCGTTGACGGTCTGTAAACTGTAGGGAATTGGTCTCTCTTTTATTTTTATTCCCCCGAAAGCTTTCGAACGGAATCGGCTGTATTTTTAAAGGGGGCAAAAAAAAACACCAGAAAATCACTCGTTACTCTAAGGGGACGACTTTTGTTTTTGTTTATGTTTAACAGGCGGTGTCTTCGAACTCCTGAAACCGAACTTAGTAAAGGTCGCCCTATGTCAACCTCAAACATTATATGTTTCGATTAATGGCCATTTACGTGAATATCAAAGTTATTCTCAAAGTTTAACTTTATCTTTTCTTTCCCCCACGGTCATATTTATATCTCGATTAATGTGCCTTTATGTATACGTCAAAAACTGCGATTTCAGCCTCCCTCTTGTGTTTCCCCCACAGTCATATTTATATTTCCATTAATGGGCATTTATGTATACGTCAAAGATGCTTTCGAAGCTCCCCCCCCACCCCACTTTTCTTGTTACCCCCCACCCCCCAATCCCCTTTCTAAAACAATATTGATCCACCTCCAAGTGTCTTTCCTGACATCGACGTGGAAAGTTCTGGAAAATCTCTGCAGCTGAGGCTGGCACATTGCAGGGGGTCAACCATTCCCGAATCTATCCACATATCAAACCGTGGGATAATCGTGCATGTGTCTGAATGAATGCCATTTCAGCTGGGTTCAGTACCCTCCCTAGGAATCTCTGGAGGCTGGGAGGGAAATGCTTGCTGTTGGCGTCTTGTCATTTTGAAAGGGAAAGACCAAACTGAGATTTCATCAAGGTTCACCACCCCTCTTTCCCTCCTCCCCCACCCCCGTTAAACGAGTTGAGAGGATAAGTTTTTTCTTTCATTCGTTTGTCCGTGGGATGTGGGAACGACATTTGTTCCCAGTTCCTTGAATTGGCTTTGCTGTAGGGCCATTTCAGAGAGGAAAAATTATCGATTAGAGTTAGCCACATTGCTGTGGACCCAGAGTGACATGTAGGCCAGACCAGGCAAGAAAAAGGGAATCAACAAGGTGTTTTTTTTTAAATCAATAAGTATTGTGTTCATGGTCACCGTGACTGAGACTAGCTTTTAATTCTGGACTATTAACGGAATGCGTACCCAAGGAGTCTTGGGGTTGCTCATCCAGCAACCTTACCATTACACCACCAGTTGAATGTCATTGTCAAAGTGCCCACAATTTAAAATTGTTATGAAGGGAGTAGATGTACTGAGAGTGTTTTAGTTGTATTTACATGGAGATTAGTTGGAGAATTGAATGTTTCGTCACATTGGGAAGAGAAGCTGAAGGAGTGATCATTGCTTTTTAAAACAAGTTGTAGAAATGTTTGAAGCAGGGAAAGAAACATGACTAAATGGAGAGAAAGGGACAGCAAAATTATATTTATATTGCTTTCGCAAAGGCACTATGCCAGTGGCCTCTTATGCAGTCAGCTGTATTTAGAAAGAGCATTCACTTTTAGCGTGGCTTTCATGTTATTTAGATATCCCTTGGTGCTTTACAATCAATGAAGGACAAATTAAGGAATAGTCAATCTTGTGTTGCAGGAAACGCAGCAGGTAATTTGCACACAAGATCCCATAAGCAGCATGATGTGAAAATTGTTAGTTTAGTTGTGTTGATTACAAGGCAAATATTGATCAGAGTACAAGGGAGTACTTCTCAGCTTTCAAAATGTTGCCAGGGAGTCTGTTTTTAATCTACCTCCGAGGGTATACAGGGATCGTAGTCTAACATCTCCCCTGAAAACGTACCTCTGAGAGAACAGCACTCCCTCAGGACCTGACTGGTATCAGCCAAGATTGTGGGCTGAAGCCTCTGGAGTTTGTGTTGAACCTAAGGCCTTCCAACTTAAGTGAGAGTGCTACCCATTAAATCACAGCCGACTTTATTATTAAAAGTTGGAATTTTTCAGAAATGAAACTGAGTGGGAATGTAAGTTATAATATGGGTATGTATTAATTTGTTTTCTTTATATATATTAAGGTGGATAGTTGCGAAGGCTTGGAATTGGATACACTTTCCAAATTGATTTGAGAATGGCTACGAGTCATCACGTGAACCGCCTCTTCAGTGAAGTGACCTGCTCCATCTGCCTGGATTTCTTCCAGGAGCCAGTGGCACTGGAATGTGAACATAATTTCTGCCGTCTCTGTATCTCCAAGAGTTGGGAGCAGGGTGATGCTTTCTACTCCTGCCCTGAGTGCAGGGAGGAGTTCCGTGAGAAGAAGCTTAGGCCAAACCGCATGCTGGCCAATATTGTGGAGGGGGTGAGGGAGCTGAACCTTCAGCCTCACCAAGGTCACCCTACCTTCTACTGCCAGCAGCATGAGGAGCGGCGCAAGCTTTTCTGCCAGGACTGCCAAGCAGCCATCTGTGTGGTGTGTTCCTGTGCAAAAGAGCACCGGGGTCACAGCTTCATCCCTGTCGAGGAGGCTGCCGACCTGTACAAGGTGAGAAAGTTGTGGATGTACAGGTGTGGCAGGGAGAAGGCTGACAGATGTACAGGGGCAAAGATAAGATTTTTTGTTTTCATTTGCTAGAGGGCATTGCTGGCTCGAACGACATTTATTGCCCATCCCTCGTTGCCCTTGATAACATAATGGTGAGCTTCCTTTTAAATCACTACAGTTCAGGTGTTGTGGGTAGACCCATTATGCCCTTAGGGAGGGGATTCCAGGATTTTAATCCAGCAACCATGAACGAACGACAGTATATTTCCAAGTCAGGACAGAGAGTGGCTTTGAGGGGAACTTGGAGGGGTGGTAATCTCACGTATCTGCTGCTCTTGTTCTAGGTAGAAGAGTTTGTGAGTTTGGAAGATATATTGCTGTTCCTTCACGCTGTAAAGCGGCCACCAAATGGTGAATGGCGTTGGTAGTAGAGGAGGTTTCAGCCACGCGTTCAGACCCAGTGGTATTGGTAGGGGCCGAGTCAGTGGTAGGGTCGTGGCAGGGGTCATGGTGGAAAGGCCGAAGATAAGGAATGTGTGCCAGTAACTAAACTTGGCCATTTGGTAAAGGATTTGAATATCAAGACTCTGGAGGAAATTTATCTCTTCTCCCTTCCTATCAAGGAGTCTGAAATAATTGACTTTTTCCTGGGATCAGCCTTAAAGGATGAGGTTCTCAAGATCGTGCCTATACAGAAGCAAATCTGTGCTGGTCAACACACAAGAATTAAGGGTTTTGTTGCAATAGGTGAATGTAATCGACACGTTTGATTGGGTGTCAAGTGCTCAAAAGGAAGTGGCCGATTCAATTCGTGGAGCTATCATTCTGGCAAAGCTGTCAAATCATTCCTGTAAGAAGGGTTACTGGGGTAACAAAATTGGAAAAGCCCTCACTGTACCATGCAAGGTGACCGGGCATTTTAGTTCAGTCTCAGTGCATCTGATCCCTGCTCCTCGTGGTACTAGTATTGTCTCAGCTCCTGTCCCCAAGAAACTACTTCAGAGATGGCTGGTATTGATGATTGCTACACCTCTGCGAGAGGCTGCACAGCCATACTGGGCTACTTTGCTAAAGCTGCGTTTGACGCCATCTCCAAGATCTACAGCTATCTGACCTCAGCTGTCTGGAAAGAGATTCTGTTTACCAAAGCCACACACCAGGAATTCAGTGAAGATCTGGCCAGGACGCACATTCATGTCTGTTCAAAGGCCCCAGTCGGTTGTTGTTCCAGCAACATAAAGCATTTATGCAAAGACTGAAATAAAAATCTGTTACATTTGAAAAAACAAAATCTGGGGACAAGGAAAGATGCAGGATATGTGAGGATCTATTGGGGACAGGGTCAAAGGTGTGTTTGCAGATGACAACAAGATGGGCAGAAGGACAGGTAATGTTGAGGAAGTGGGGAGGCTGCAGAAAGACTTGAACAGGCTAAAAGAGGAGGCAAAGAAGCGGCAGGTGGAATACAATCTGAGAAAGTGTGAGGTTCTGCACTTTGGAAGGAAGAATAGAGGCGTAGACTATTTTCTAAATGGGGAAAGGCTTTGGAAATCTGAAGCACGAGGGACTTGGGATCCCTAGTTCAGGATTCACTTAAGGTTAACATGCAAGATTCAGTTGGCAGTTAGGAAGGCAAACGCAATGTCAGCATTCAAGAGGGCTAGAATATTAGAACAGAATGTACTGCTGAGTCTGTATAATAATCTGGTCAGACTGTATTTGGAATATCGTAAGCAGTTTTGGGCCCTGTATCTCAGGAAGGATGTGCTGACATTGGAGGGGATCCAGAGGAGGTTTACGAGAATGATCCCAGGGATGAACGGCTTGTCATCTGAGTTGAACTGAATTAACTTTATTGTCACATGTAGTCAAATGAGTACAGTGAAAAGTTTACAGTTGCTGCATTGCCTAGGTACAGATATTTAAGATGAAATTGTTAGGGGGAAAAATATGAGAAAAGTAAAGAAATAAATAGTCCAGCATTATAGGTCATAGGAATAAATTGGAAAAATAAAGAAGTAAAAAGTTCAGAATATCAATGTTTCCGACTTAGTCTGTGCCAATACCCAGCCTCAAGGGAGGCCTCCACTACTTCGCCGCTGCTGCGCCCACTTCACTAATGCTGCTGAACCCACACTCGCCCCTCAACCAAGAGTCCCTGACCCTGCTGCCAGCTGGGCCATGAGTCCAGCTTCTTGTACAGATGTCACCTTATTGGTGCTGCTGTTTCGAAGAGTCCACTGCCACTGGCCCCAAACACCGGGAAAATGATCTCGCTGCTGCTACCACCAGCCCCGAACACTGGGAGAATGACGTCACTGCTGCTGCCACAGGCAGAAAATGGGGATAAAGGTGCATGAGATCACATTCATCTGCCACCGGCTTCCAATTGTCAGGAGAATGCCTGGCTGCCCCCACCTCCTACTGCCAACAGAAGCCATTTCCGCCACTCAGCATGTGACCCACTCTCACTGCCACACTGGTGTTGCTGACCAACTCACCACAAAAAAGACGAAGAAAAAGACCAAAAGGAGAGGAAAATAAAATGAAAGAAGAGAGCAGAGGCAAAAGTGAAGCAAAGAAAAAAAGCAGATGGGACCAGTTGGGCCCCCGGGAAAGAGCCTGCATGCAGCCCTTTTACTGCTGCGCCATCATGAGGAGCATTTGAGGACTCTGGGTCTGTACTCAATGGAGTTCAGAAGGTTGAGGGAAGACCTGATTGAAAGTTACAGAATATTGAGAAGCCTGGATAGAGTGGAGATGATGTTTCCACTGATATGAGAGACTAGGACCCCAGGGCACAGCCTTGGAGTGAAAAGACAACCTTTTAGAACTAAGAGGAGGAGGAGTTTGTTCAGCTGAGGGCAGTCAATCTGTGACACTTATTGCTGCAGAGGACTGTGGAGGCCAAGTCACTGAGTGTATTTAAGACAGAGATAGATGGGTGCTTGATTGGTAAGGGGATCAAGGGTTACAGGGGTCGAGAAATATGTCAGCTATGATCCAATGGCGGAGAAGACTCTGGGCCAAATGGCCTAAATTCTGTTCCTATATCTTGTGGCCTATGGTATTAAAGATACAATCTGGCAAGAAAAGGGGCGCAAGATATACAGCTGACAGGAAAAGGATTGAAGTAAATGTTTGGGGCAGCAAGGGGGGTTTGGAATGTATGGCGAGCTGGTAGAGGTAACTAAAATATGCATGGGGGTAGGGAGGTTCTTATCAGTCTCCATGCCTAATTTCATCTCAGTATATCAACTTCAAAGTTTGATTCATTGCCTGAAATCCTGTTATAACCTTTGTTCACCCAGCTCTAATCTTCCATGGCCTATCATCATTTTGTAGCTATTTCTACCATTGCTTTATTGTCTGCTGTCCTCTCCTGTATTACACCATGTTCTGTCTGTGGAATTGTTTCCCAATTCCGTTTGCAAAGACAAATCTCTCAATCCTGCTTCAGAGACCGTGTGTAAACCAAGGAGCTAGTGTGAGTTTTTAGCCCATTGAGTCTATGTTGCCATTCTGCAAGGTAATGTCTGATTTCTAACCTAAACTTTTCTAACTTCTGCTTACTCTTATCTCTCTTTGCCTTCTTGCTGGACACTTTCTGTATGTTAGGGGATGCACAAGAAGTATTTTTACTCTAAGACAACTGTAAACCCTGTTTTTAACCATTGGTATGGAACTAGTATGATATTTTCCCTTACCCACAACAGCTGCCAAGTAACCTCTTGGTGTAACATTGCCACACAGTATTCAATTGTGGCTATACTTGTTCACCCTTCCCTGAAGAAGAATGAGCTTGGATTTTGCGCTCTCCTTTGCTATTTTAAAAGCCTGTTTAATATATCAATGTATCTTTTTGACATACGATTTAATTTAAATACTCACACTAAGTGTTCCGTAACACTAAAAAAACCCAAAATACTCAGAATTCTGGAAATCGGATGTAAATAAAGGAGAAAAAGCTGGTGCCGTTAGCACGTTTGGCATCTTCTGAAAAGAGAACGAGCATTAACACTTCCAGCAGAATTGTCAAGATGAAAGGTGATTGATCTGAAATGTTAACTCTGCTTCTGTTGTCACATGGGCTGTCCTAACAAGCTGTGTATTATCACCAATTTTCATTAATATGTAATGGCAATGAGCTTACAACTCCTTTTGATAATTCATTCAATTAAGGAATATAAAGGATATAGCTGCTACAGTAGATGAAAGGGGTATTTAGATGTAGAATACTTAGATTTTCAAATGACATTTGATAACTTGTCACATGAAAGATAAATATACAAAATTAGCATGTTTGGAGTCAACATGGATGGGAGATTGATTAACAGACTGGAGCAGAAAGTAAGGATAAATGGGACATTTTCAAGTTGACACGCTGTGAATTGTGGAATTCTGTTAGAATCTGTATTCACCTATTCTCGATCTATATTAACGACTTAGTTGAACATTGAGACTGAGACGAATATATCCATATTTGCTGATAGCACAAAGCTATGTGAAAATATAGGCTGTAAAGAACATATAAAGGTGCTGCAGGGATAGAAACAGGTTGGGTGACAAAATGAGGTATAATGTGGGGAAGTATGGGATTATGCACTTTGACAACAAGAACAGAGGCAAAATGTATCACAGAAATGTCGAAAACAGATGCAAGAGTAGGCCTTCCAACCCTTCAAGCCTGCTGTAATTTTCGATATGATCAGTACCCTGTTCCTTCTTTTTCCCATACCTTTTGATCTTCAAAGGCCTAAGAACTATATGTAACTCTTTCTTGAAAACATTTAATGTTTTGGCCTCAACCTCTTTTTGTGACAGAATTCCACCGTCTCATCACTCTCTGGAAGATGAGATTTCTCCTCATGTCAGTCCTAAAGGGGAGGCAATGGCCTCGTGGTATTATTGTCGGACTGTTAATTCAGAAACCCAGGTAATATTCTGGGGACAATGGAATTTGAATTCAATAAATATCTGGAATTAAGAGTCTAATGATA